GAAGAGTTTGGGGAAGAACCTTTTCTGTTCCAACATGACTGGGCCCCGGTGCGCAAAGCTAGGTCCATAAAGGCATGGCTGGGTGAGTTTGGTGTGGAAGAACTTGACTGGCCCGCACAGAGCCCTGACCTCAACAGAGATTGCAAGCCAGGCCCTTTTGTCCAACATCAGTGTCTTCTATATGAATGGGCAAAAATTCCCACAGACACACTCACAGAAGAATGGAAGCTTTTATAGCTGCAAAGGGGGGACCAACTCCATATTAATGCCTATGGATTTAGAATGGGATGTCCTAAAAGCTCCTGTAGGTGGAATGTGTAGGTGTCCCAAACGTTTGTCCATATAATGTAGTTGAGAACGGTGTGGACATGGCTAATGAGCAGCTTGATTGACAGCTCTCTGTCAAACATTCTTAGCCTCCTCCGCCACTCATGCAGAACTAAAATCATTATCCAGCATTTATGTGACAGTAACTAGGCAAACGAACGGGCGGATGAATGAACAAAGAGACAGATGAAGCAATGTGCTAAGGAACAGACGTGCAGACAGACGGATGAACAAAAGGATGAATGAATCACTGTGTGAATAAAAGATCAGACAATCAAAGTTCATGTATGGATAAATGAATGAACAGGTGACAGGCAGCTACAGACAGGTGGTCTAGCTTGCTAGCTTTTGGTTATGAGTTACTAAACCTCTCTCATAAAACCTTGACCTTGCATGAGCAACAGGAATGCATTTTCCTTGCTACGTTTATTCAGTCACTTCAAGAAAATGCCAAAACTTCTTAAAAAGTTGTACAGCAGATGGCAATTACCATTAAACACAGAAAACTGTGTGTGTGGAATTATATGGGGCTTTAAATCAGAGTCAATAGGTCAAGCGTTTGAAGTCTTCTTAGAATCTATTCACTGTGTACAATAAATTATGCCATTGCTGAAAAAAGAAACAAAGCAAAGGCAGAAGAGGTTTGAGGAAAAAAACTATACATTTTCTGTAACCCTTTCCAGCATGTTTCAGCACCACCGTGTTGATGGTCTGAATAAAACGCAAACTTTAGGAAAAGTAAAATGCTGCATACACTGTTCATGTTAAATGACAACAGCAGTATGAGTTCAACAAAGATTTTTGCCCAGGGTGTGACAAGTCCTGGTTTGTAGGCCTTGACAGTTTAAATGTGATTTGGAGAGCAGTCATCTTTCATGGGTTGATTATTTGTTCTGATTTGGGGAAAACGCTAGCCGAGATGCTGACTGTAGGGAGGAAGCTTCCTCTCAAAGGCTTGGTGGTCTAGGAGTACAGTTCTTGCTTAGGTTGTGAGCGGCCCCAGGTTCAAATCCTGGACTAGCCCTGGCATTCAGTGATACATAGAGTGTCAGTTGCAGATGTATGTGTTGATTCTTTGTTTTCAAGACACAAATGTGCTGCCTAAGGGAGCGAGTGTGGCAGAGAAGTGTTTGTGCATTGACTTGTTGGTCTAGGGGTATGATTCTCGCTTTGGGTGCAAGAGGGCCTAGGTTCAAATCCTGGAGGAGCTGAGGTTTTAAAATGACTTGTCTCTAGTTGAGATGCATCAACAAAACTTTTATTTATTTTGTTTTAACTTTGCTGGAGTCATTTTCATCATTTTCAGCATCACCGTATTTGTAGTCTGAACTAAATCTAAACTTTGGGAAAGAAAAAAAAATAAAATAAAATGCCGTACGTCATATACTGTCTGTCTTAAATGAGGAGTTCAACAATGATTCTTGCTAAGGTTATGATAGGTCCTGGCAGTTAAGCTCAGATGAGCCCTGGTTTAAACAGCACTTTACATATCAAAATGCATATCTGCGTCACCATGACAGCATTTCTGACTGAAAACGAACCATTTCAAAGCAACCTGTGGGTTCAGATAAAGCCTGTGGTCAAATTTCATTGGTCTTAGGCCTTGTTCAGAATGCCAGACCATATCTGATTTTTGCCATACCCAGATCGTTTCCAGACTGATTTTTGATTGTCTGGACAGTGAAAAACCCCACGAAATCCACTTTTGCCAAATCTGATTCAAACCACATTTGGAGGTGTTACTGTGTCCCACCTAGCCTTCAGTCAGAGTCTGTATTTTTCAGAACGGCACTGTGCGTCCAAATTCAAAACCATCTCTCAGGAGGCTCACAGACAGACAATACTTGCACACATAATTGCAGACTGCAAACAAACTAACTACAATGGATGCTGCCCCATACAGAATTCCTGACAAACAATTTTTGGGCAATAACAGCTTTCTGGGTGCATACAGAAGTCTGACTAAACACACTGGAGCAAGAATACAGAGCTACAGCATTTCATCAAAGATAGGGGAGCAAGCAGCATTTCTAATCTCTTAGCAGCTCTCCACATCATCAACTTTAATCCAGTATCCACTGCTCATGGAAAACTTTTACTTGTCTGTAAAATGTAGACTGTGTTTCTGTAGAGCCTGACGTACATTACATAAACAGAGAGGGTCATAAATCTAAACAAGGAAAGTCCGTCCTGCTGCTGATAAAGTTAGCTAGCCAGCTAATTACATTTTATAATTGATTGTAGCGAACACTGGCTGAAACTCTACCTCAAGCAGAGTGTTTACCCAAAAGTTAAGGGCCTTTTTGGCTCCAGCAAGTCTGGGAGTGAGGCGTAAAGCTGTCGGCTTAATACCCCCAACCCCAGACTCAGTCAGATTTACAGCTGAATCGAGAACCAGCTGTTAAATTAGTATCACCAGCCTCAGAACCCTGATTGCGACCTGAACCTCGCCAGCGGAGTGGGAGCGGTTCGGACGCCATGGAGACCCAACATCGCACCCAGAGCCACGCACTGATCTGTGAACAGACCGACCCTCGAAAGGCCGCCCAAGCTCCACCATCAGACGGCCACGAGACGCCTCCGCACAATCACTGACGGGAAGGCGCGTGCCCGCACGGAGATGCAGCATCCACAGCCAGCGAGGAGATGAACCACCGCGTGAGCTCCAGCCTTCGATCGAGTCTGTCCTGAGACGACCCCTCCTGAAATCAGCCCCCGACTCCCACGTAAGCTGGAACCATCAATTTGCAGTCAGGGCCCTGACGCCAATTTATTTAATAAGAGAATTTTATAGGTACATCCAGCCATATAGTTATTCCCGTCCAGGCTTAGGTTAATTCTCTAGAGGCTCTCCCAAACGACTCCCCATACCTCACTGCCTCATACCATTTAGCCGTGAATCACTCTAACTTACTCGAGCTATTTTGTCTTTCATTACTATCACTTTGTTTTGTTTTGTTTTCTGGTTTTATTTTCTATTGTTTATCATTGAATGTAGTCCAAAAGTAGTTTGATATTTAGCCAATAAATTCCCTTTTCTGAAGCATCCTTGGTGCGAGCGTTTCTCTCTCTTGCCCTGGTCTGTAGACTTCAAATAAATCCAAAACCCGTTACATGATTAACTGCAATCATCAAAGAAATCCTCAAAACAAACTCACAGTGCTCCCTCTTCAGTATCTGTAAGCACACAGGTAAACACGCTTTTGGGAGTAGCTGGCTACCGCACTGCATTGTGGAAGTCGTACTTTTCCCAGGTGAAGCTTACGGAGGCAACAGTGAGAATAAATGTGAATTTCTCCGACTTTGCTAGAGAAATTTGAACGATTTTTTACACAATTCCTGTTCAGAGACCCTAAATTTTTAGATTCTATTGGTAATAACAGCAGAGAATGACCCCTTTAATCTTTGTTGGGTTTACCCTTTGTTTTGAGTTAAGGACTAAGCTAGCTGAAGTTTCGACTGCAGTGCCAAAGAGCCTGTGTGCCAGCTTGTTAGTCTAGGAGTATGATTTTTGCTTAGGGTGCGAGAGGTTCTGGGTTCAAATCGCGGATGAGCCCTGGCTTCAAAGAGAACTTTGACTTTGAATTAATCAAAAAGAAAACACAGATTTAAGTTCCCTGGGTCTTTAATGTGGAATGGAAAATTTGAAGAAGGCAACTTCAGCCCTAAGAAAATAAGTTAGCTATCATAACTTGTTACCATGTGTGCCATTTTATGGCCAACAATTAATGAGCTCATATTACATCTCTGCGGTTAAAATAATTAATAATTAACATTAAACAAATGTTAACATTAGCTAACCTAAATTAAATCCAACCAAGTGAACAAATAAGCATGTCTACTGTTAGTGCTGATCCCTATATAACAAACGAAGCCAACTCAAGTTTTATCTTATTTTGGCATCAGTAGGCCAGGCCAGCTAAGTAACATTCTACTATTGTATATGTTTGGTCCTTGCTGTTTCAGTTTCTCTTTTAAAATACAGACATTAAATGTGCCTTTCAAGGCATAAGTAGTGCCAGAAAGAAAGAGAACAGCAGAAGAATCAGCAACATAAGGCATATATGGGAATGAATTTCATTTTGGCACACTATGGGAACATTTTTATTTCCATTGTACTGTTTATTTTAAGAACTAAAACAGGACAACAGCAAGAGCAGATGAGGTGAGAGCTGGCAGAAAGGAAAAGAATAATAATGTAATATGTATATTAGTGTTCTGATTATATAGGGTCCAGGCAGATACATGTATATTTATTTTTATTCATTCTTTTAGAATATAGAATATAAAATATAAAAATATTGGCTTTTTTCCGAACTGGTAAACCATTTTTTGCTGTCTATAATATAGGTGCACTGGAATCTAGAGGACAGACTGTGTAACCATGTGACTTTGTAAAGTGGGCCAAGGGCTAGCCTGGGCTGAGCCCCTGATACTGGTACAGGCTCCTGGGCTGAGCCCCTGATACTAGTCACGCTCCTGTTCAACACTGTTTATTCACTGAAGAGGCAGTAAAGATTAATTCAGTACACCAGCTGCTACAGGGACCACAGAAATATTTGAAATTTTGTTATATTTGATTTAGTTGTCCTTTTTAAACAGTCAATAACAGAAAGAGAACAGAAAAAAACAGGAAGAGCACTGTAGTTGAACTGCTTTGCTTAAAAGCAGGAAGAGTATTTGTCAGTGGAGCCTCTTACAGAAACATGTACTTTTACTCACTCTTGAGTTTTTTAATTCTCTTTGTGTTGCTCCTCTGTATCTCAGGTAAGAATCTGTGTTCTTTACTTTTACTGCTTTACACACTTTTATTAACTCTTTTGCATGATGTTGCCTCAGTGTAATGAACCCATTTTCTTCACTTTGCAATGACACGATAGGCATTTAATTATTTATAATTAATTTTATGAATTTATGATTAAAAGGGTTAATAATAGAGGGAGGCGTTGGAATGAACCAGTGAAAATCTTATACTTGACCAAATCATCTCCTGGGTGGGCGTTTTTAAACCTATTTCCTTTAAACCTATAGCTCGAGGGCACCATGATTGTACACCAGTATCAGAAATTTATTTTATGAAATAATTTTTCTTTAATGCAAAAATATGATTCTTACCTGTTGGAGTTTTTAAAACATTCAGTATCATATACTTTACTTTTATGATGTGAGAAGTTGCTTAGAGTAGTATGTTGACTGGAAAAATAGATACAGCCAATAGCAACTGATCACTTATGTAGCCACTTACACTGCAGTTACCATTTTATATTGAGAATTATCATTTTGTTTTAGTTGTTTTAGGTTAAAGCTGCAGTATGTAAGATTGTCACATGATCAGGCTCAAAAAGAAGGTCGAGTGTGACGTTTGAAGTCTCCAATGCAAAATCAAATCTATAGTGATGAAGTCTGATGATGATGTCTCCAAATCCCCAGAACGTACACAGTGTAGCTTTAATTTGAATACAATATTAGGCCCATTCCAGTCATTTCTGTCATGTATGCATAAGGGAATGGAAAAACTTAACAAAAGACAAGCACAACTCTATCAGCCCATTTCAGGATACAGTGTGGCTACTCCCATCTGTGGTCTTTAAGTGTTTTACATAAACATCTTTTCTCTGTCATAAACTTATACTGATTCTGAAGTCGTTCTCGAGAAATACTGTATTATTTGCCTTCTTTTCTCCAGATTCTGAGAGCGTGAGGACACTGAAGAATTTAGCTGTAAAACGTGGAGGATCTCTCTGTATTCCATGCTTTTATGATGAGAAATACAAATCAAACCGTAAATACTGGTGTGAGGGGCATTCATGGTCCTCATGCAACATAGTAGCCTCTACAAACACAAGTGGAAGAATATCAGTCACTGATCATCCAACACAGAATATGTTTACTGTGGAACTGAACAGCCTCCAAGACTCTGACTCTGGATATTATTGGTGTGCTGTGGATATTAGTGGCCGTGTGGATGACGGTGACCATTTGTACTTGAATGTTAGTGCAGGTAAGAAGTCTCTTTGTGTGAGGGTAAATGTGTTCGCTGTAACTTAACGCTTAGAAGGTGTCACTTATGATGGAGTTCATGTTTAGACCACTCATTCTCTGCCTCTTTATTCAGATCCTGCTGTGTCAGTGATAAACAGCAGAGTGAGTGGTCAGGAAGGGGGCAGTGTCAGTGTCCAGTGTCTCTACAGTGCTGAATATCAGAATAAACAGAAGAAGTGGTGCAGGTTTGAAGACTGGAGCTGCTTCACAGTGGGGAGGACTAACACATCCCAGAATTCATCAGTGCTGGTCATTGACTATGGAAAAGGATCTGTCAGTGTGGAGATGAGGGGTCTGCAGAAGAGTGATGCTGGCTGGTACTGGTTCAGTGCAGGAGATGTGGGGGTTACTGTTCACCTCACTGTCACTGAAAGACCTTCAAGTAAGATCACATGTATCATACCTGCTGACCTTTAAGCTGTAATGTTGTGCCACTTACATCAATTTGGTTCTTCTCTTCTTATGTTAGCAACAGCTGTGACTGCAGTTTCTGGCAGTGAGAAACCTAAGGGAACCGCGACCACCCCAGGTACGATCATAAACACTGCTAATTGGTCAACAAATCATGCATGACAAAAAATTATACATATTGTTGAACCTTCTGATATAAACATGCTGTGGCCAAGGTATCTGTTGCTGTATTAAAAATGTAAAAAAAAAGTAGAACAAGCCTTCTGTGTTTACACCTGGAATCTGGGCTGTAATATAAACCAGTTTGTGATTTTAGGATATTTTTGTGTCCAAATGACTGGATGCTGGCACTGGCTTACATGTAACCATGTGATTTGTGACCATGTGATTGACAGACTGTGGAGGACTCTGGAAATTCTGAGATGTGCAGATGCTTTAATGTATAGACATCCATAATCCATATCTGTAATTTCAGTAACATACAGTTATGCATTTCAGTGTAGTTATGTGCATTTCTGTAATAAAATGTTTTCTGTCTTATGCTGTCTGCATAGACACCCATTTTGCCTGCAGGCTGGTAAATAATTGATGCTACATGCACCACAGAAAGGGAATCCAGGGGTTTGAATATTAGTTTAATTAAATAATTGATAGATTATTTCGGCCCCCAGTCATGTTGTAAGGGGTCAGGCTACGATGCCAGCTGCCACTAGGAGGCCTGGGACATCATGCCAGGAGAGCTGCTAGGCACAGCTCCCAGAAGTCCCACTCCCAGAAGCCCTAACGATAATCAGGGGTTGACCAGTTGCACCTGGGGAATGCTGCATAAAAGCTCGCAAAAAACAGCAGCCCAGCGTTACACCTTTGTACCATACGGTAACCGGTACGGTACTTCAGCACAGGTGGGTGGAAGGAAAGAAAGAAAGAAAGAAAGGAAGAAAGAAAGAAAGAAAGAAAGAAAGAAAAGCACCGAAGCAGGCAACAGAAAATCAAAGAAAAGAGAAGAGAAAGCAAAAGAATGAGATCGAAAGGAAAAGACAATCTTGAGGGTGGTTTTGTGTTCTTTTTAGTTTCTCTTTTTTGAAGAAGTGCCTTTGCTTGAGCACGCTGGCTTTAAGCATCCCTTTTGTTTGCCATTCCCGCCATTTCTTTTCCCACCGCCTTACATATCGGTTTTCCCACCTCTTTTCATATAGTCCCTGTGGCGCAGTGGTAGAGCTCCGCTGGAGATCACCGGCTCTCGCCACAATGTAACACCAAAACTTAACCACTTCATACCAATAAAGGTTCTACACTCTACAATAACAAATAAATGACTGATTAATCTGCGCTTGTGTTACGGGACAGCAGGGAGGCGGACACAAGTGCAAAGATGAAAACCCGTGAGAAAGGGTGTTAAATAAATTTATTGAGGCAATGGAGTGCAAATTTGGCACGTTGGGGTGACCCAGAGCCAGGCTTGAACCGCTGATGTACTGAGTTACTGCTGCACCACTGGGAAGCATAGGTGACAACAGGTAAGATACCTCAAGGAACGGGAAATAAAAAGGCGGGAAAAAACGGCAAACGCAGGAAACGCTGAAAGCAGCGTGCTCAAACAAAGGCTGAACTAGAAACATGAAATAAAAGATAATGAGAAAACAAAAGACACTTCCACTGTAAACACCTTTTGTATGGCTTGGAGCCATTTGTAGCTCAAGCCTTCCTGTGTCTGAGTAATTTTGGGGCAATTACTCTCTTTTTGTTTTGTTTTTTTCCAGCCCTCTTTTCTTTTTGTTTAAATACCCACCTGGGCTGCGTACCGTACCGGCCACCCCTATACAAAGGTGTGACAAAGGGCTGTTTGCCTAATCAGCCTGAGGCCTTCTGGGAATTGGAGTTCCCTGAAGTTATGGCACTTCGCCGCCGTCGCCCTCTGCTGGCGGCAGAGGTCTAACTGTAACATGCAGTTTTTCACCATGGCAGCTGTTTTTGTTGCATAGTTGTCACCTATGCCTACGTTCATAAAATTAAACAATGCAACGATGAACTTAAAAAAAAAATCATAATTAACAGCTGTGATTGCAACTTCTGGCAGTGAGGAAACCAGCATCAGTCAGACAGTAACAGTCATGTTGTAAAACTAACAGAAATGTGTTTCTTCATTTCTTATGTTGCAACAGCTGTAATAGTTTGATGGCAGAGTTTCTTTCCCTGGCAGCTGTGGAACTGTGTGTACATGTGTGAAGTGTTCTGTTTGCAGTTGTTTGGAATTGTAAAGCATCCTTTATTTTGAGAGAAACACCATAAAAATGAAACTTTAGAGAGTGCAAAACTGAGCTAATGCTAGAGCTAACTGTTAGCCAAACTCCCTTTTAGCTGGAGCCAACTTTGTCATGAGACTACTTAAAGGAACATCCTTGAAGTAAAAAATATAATTGTCCAGTTACATTCTGACTGTTCATGCCATGAGTAATCCTTCTACATTTTCATTTCTTGATTCTTCGAACTGCAGTGGAGACAACAAGTTCTGGCACTGAGAAACCAGTGTGAGTACAAAGAACTGAATGAGAGACGTTGTATTGGCCTGTACTAATGGTGTCTCTGGATGTCCTTGTCTATATTGTAAAATTGTCACATCTATATAAAGTAGACTTATGCTGTTTTAAATTGTACCAACACAATATTTACCTAACATTTAACAAGGTTTATGCTATCAAAATGTATTGAGAAATATAAATGTAATATATATGTAGTGTTTTATTAGCAATAGTATGGTGGTGATTACAGCGCTGCTTGGGAGTTTGTGAACCCTTTAGCATGATGTAAATATCTACAAGAATGCGACCTATAAATAAAGAGAACCCAGTAACAGAAATTACACAATTATTTTGTTTTTCTTTAATTTATTGAACAAAGTGATTCAACATTAAATATCTTTGTAAAAGTATGTGAACCTCTCCTTTTCAGTAACTTGAGCAGCACTAACTTCAACCAAATGGTTCCTGTAACTGTTGATCAGCTGTGCGCATTGACCTGGAGGAATCTTGGCCCATTTCTCCTTACAGAACTGCTTACTCTGTTATGTTGGTGGACTTTCTTGAATGAACACCACGTCTTAGATCCTGCCACAACAGATCTGGACTTTGACTTTGGCCATTCCAAAATGGAACATTTCTTCTTCAACCACTCTCTGTGGACTAACTGATGTTTTTAGGATGATTGACCCAGCTGTTGCTGAGGTTCAGTTCTTAAATGGAGGCCCTAATATTCTCCTATAGAATTTCTTTGTACAATTCAGACGTTTATAGCCCCATCAAATGATGGCAAAATGCCCTGGTCCAACAGCAGCAAAAGAGCCTCAAACTGTGATACTGCCACCACCATGTTTCACAATTAGGATGAGGTTCATATGCTGAAATGCAGTGTTTGTTTTAGGCCAAGCATAACATTTCTCATCGGTGAAATCAAATCGGATCGGTGAAGTCCACACTCTTCAGAAATTGTTTTGAAAGCTCTTTCACCCTAATAAGCATTGGCAAATGTGTCTGAGGTCCATAGAAGTCCCATTTGACTGAGACATGGCATGCACTAACAAATGTAAGTAGTAAAGGCCAGACTATGATAGTAAAGAGGCAGCCTATTTTTTTTTTAATAGGCTAGCCACACTCACACCTGATTGTCATTCAACTAATTGATCCTCTTGACCCTAAATATCACCTATACCAAACTGATCATTCTAGACGTTCACATACTTTTGCCAACCAAAATATATAATATTGGATCAACTTCTTCAATAAATGAATGAAAAACTATACATTTGTTGATGTTATTCGATCTGTGTGTGTGTGTGTGTGTGTGTGTATACACCGATCAGGCATAACATTATGACCACCGCCTTGTTTCTACGCTCATTGTCCCATTTTATCAGCTCCACTTACTATATAGGTGCACTTTGTAGTCCATCTGCTTCTCTGCATAATTTGTTCGCCCCCTTTTACCCTATTCAGTGGTCAGGACCCCCATGGACTCTCACAGAGCAGGTACTATTTGGGTGGTGGATCATTCTCAGCACTGCAGTAACACTGACGTGGTGGTGGTGTGTTAGTCTGTGTTTTGCTGGTACGAGTGGATCAGACACAGCAGTGCTGCTGGAGTTTTTAAACACCTCAGTGTCACTGCTGGACTGAGAATAGTCCACCAACCAAAAATATCCAGCCAACAGCGTCCTGTGGGCAGCATCCTGTGACCACTGATGAAGGACTAGAGGATGATTAGCTCATACTGTACAGCAAGAGATGAGCTATCATCTCTGGTTTTAAATCTACAAGGTGGACTGACCAGGTAGGAGTGTCTAATAGAGTGGACAGTGAGTGAAAAAACTCCGTGTCTGATCCACTCGTACCAGTGCAACACACACTAACACACCACCACCATGTCAGTGATACTGCGGTGCTGAGAATGATCCATTTTTTTTTTAGAAACTAGTACTCTGTATACTGCAAAACTGCTTAATGCTGAAGTCAGTGCTGCCCATACCAGCTTCACCTTCACCTTTCCTACATGTTAAATGTATAAAAGCATTTAAACCTCATGAGTGAAAAGAACAGAGATGAATCTTCTCTAAACATTATAGAATCTGTGATTATCACCCCAAGATATACACTGATGCAAGCCTGACACCTTAGCGCTTATATACGTTGTGATTTATTGCTGCTTTGTTTTGGGTTTCAGAGAGCCAGAGCAGTTCTGTCTCACACGCAGCTGAATGGTTCCACAAATGCTGAGATGCTGGAGGTGTCGAGAATTAAAGAAGCTGGAACACTCTGTAGTAGCTGTTGTTGAGGGCAGAGAAAAGGGCACAGAAGCTTTGGTTTGCAATGATTATAATTATAAATAAGATAAGCTAAACCTTCAAGATGCTGAACAAGCTGTTATAAAATTGATAATGAATAAACCATGATAAAATTCAGTGTCTGACTGTTTCATTTGATTACTGAACCACAAAATTAATGGAAATGCCCAGCAGAAAAATTAGCCAACTTGTCCTGAACAGAAACAACAGAAATGTTTTGCTCTTTATTAAAAAGAACTTAATGGCACCACATATGACATTAACTTGTCATTAGATTCCTTCAGTTTAAAAACACAGACATTGAACAACTTGTTTAACTTGAGAAAATGTTCTATAATGAGAGATGCAAACTTACCTTAGCCAGAAATGTTAGGTGTTTCACAGGTATAGGTATCATGTCGGAATTCAGGCTAAGATTTAGTTCAGGTATTTACCAAGTTCATGAAGTGCTCATCAAAGTGTGTACTGTAAACCTGCATACCAACAGTGTTGGTAATGGGATTCAGAGCTATGTCTGGGATGCAGACCTATGTGTAACCACTGGCTGGCCAGTGCAGGATTAGTAGGAAATCAATTCAAACCAATATTGCTTTCACATCAGTAAAACAGCACTAAAACAGCTCAGTTAACAAACACTGAAACACTGAATATACATTTCAGTTTAAAAAAGGGGTTTTAGGGTGTAATT